CTGATGTATACGCACGCAATGGCTGGAGCGAGACTTGATTGGCTTGAGGGGGTCTATCTATCAGGGAACTCGATTAAAATACAGACTGCACATGACATCAAATTTGTAATCATTTTTCCACAGCAAGCAAGCAAGCATTTTCTGTATTGGATGCAGGTGTTTAAAGCAATAGTGTTTTAAGGGCCAGTGCAGCACAAATTTTGGCCTTTGGGATAAAGACAAGTGTTTTGCCTGCATAAACAATATATTATTTTTTTCCCCTCCCCGAGGTCCACACACACCTAGTTTCCCTCAAGCTCATCATCTCTGTCAGGTTAATCAATAGGCACCGTATGGCAGAGGGTCAGTAATCAGTGTCATCGTGCCTTTAAATCGTGTTGAAAATTTGCTTAAAGCCTGGGCCAATTAACATCGAGATGATGAATGGATGGGTAGATGGGAAGAGCCTGGCGCTCAGGGGCTTTGTGAGAAGGAGATGCTCAGCTGTTGAGCAGCAGACACCAGCGAATAAAATCAGCCATTCATGTGAGCTCAGTCCACCCACTCTTAATGATAATGTCAATCTAGCAAAATATATACACATTGGAGTTGTCATGAGTTCATAAATCAAAGGAGTTTGTCAAAGGCATTCAGATTAACGAGGCAGCAGCAATAACAAGTCAAATTTGCATAGAGAATTGCCCGAATCTCAGTAAATTATGATCCTGTTTTTCATTTGATTATTTGCTAATGTCTCAAGAGGGAGAATGATTATATTAGCATGCAAAATCTACTCCAGAAGTAGAAATCTGAGGTATAGCAGACCAGCACACGATGACAATTAATCAGTTTCTGCATACTAGCATAAACACGCAAGGCCCAGAAATGAACTCCTTTTTTATTATTATTTCTCCTTGCTACTGATCCAAATGGTTCAGCTTGACAGAGACTTTATATTGCTTTAACAGTGTTCTGAATTGTGCCTGCAGGCAAGACATAGTTATGCAGCTATAACCAACCTATCCATCTGCCAACCAGATTGGAATTCTCCTATCCAAGGCTTCCATTAACCCCCACTGACAGCTCCAAACAGGATTAAGAATTTGAAAGCATAAAAAATAGTTGTGCTCCTCACATAGACACACTCTTCTCCCCCACCCCCACCTCCACGCACTTGGAAAAACGGCTGTGTCTGTACTCTTTTATAATTAGTGCAGGGCAGAACAGCATCAAAGAGAGCCTCCCCCAGTTGGCAGGGGTTTGATTTCCACCATGAGCGAGGCGGTACTAAAGGTAGCTCTGCCCAATTGGTAGTCCCTGGGAGTGCATTTCTCCATGTATTATATCTCATTCCCAGCAGTGTTTTGCTGGGGTTGTGTACACAAAATACTGCATGTCATCTCCTGTCAAATGCTTCAGTCTGGGGATTTTGTATGCATTGTAGCATGTTGTGTTTAGTGGTGGAGGAGGCTTCATGGGGAGAGTTAAATAGTAATAATTTTGTAGTGGTCTTTAAGACAACCTGCCATGGAGTTATATTCTGTTAATTACAGGCTGAAGTTTTAAATGCAAATCAGACTTAAAAGGATTTCATTATAGGCAGTAGCCATTTTAGAAGAAATGAGCTATGGAAGGCAGAGCCCCTTTGCAGGAATCTCCTGTTAGAGAGAAATTTTTAAGGCAACAAGAACTATGAGCTTGGGTTTCCTGACTTCTCAGTACTTCCCCTGTCATTGTGTGACCTTGGGCAAATAAAAAAAGTAAATAAAAAAATTCACTTGTCTGTAGAAAGAGGGGCTGCTTTGGAGACTTTAGCCTGTAATCTTCCCTGTATTTGTTCAAAAAAAGAGACCCTTGCATGCAAGCACAAACACTTTTAGCCAGCCCAGCTTTAGTCAAGAAGGCTTGCCTGTGGGAAGTAAAAATTTTCTTTGGTGGAAGGGAGTTTGTGCTGCTTTTCAGCTTTCCATGTGTGCTAGTTTTCTTTGCTTCTTTCTCCCTAACAAATTCCATCGTTTCCCTACTATGTATGAAGTACAGTTGCTGCAGATCTTTTATATTCCCAGTGAGTACACCCAACTTACCGTCTGGATACCAAATGCTTCTTTCCAGGTCTGTGCCCAGGATGTGCATTTCTGTAACCACGAGAGGGTGCTCAGAGCAGTTCCTCCCTTTGTCTGCCTCTCCTGTGGCCGAGAGCATCGCTGGAGTCCTGCTGAGACAAACCTTATTCTGACCTCACACGTGTTTATCCCTCCTCCCACCTTGTTCAGCAAGGAGAAATATATAGATGTACCGTTTCAGTCGATTACGTTATGCTCTTCCCTTGGCCATGTCTGTGTTGCCCTGTCAAGTGAAATTCACTTCCATGCAGCTACAGTTAGTCCTGAAATACGCGGGGTCCTGTACCTGCACCTGGATTGATAGGTTTCCTTTTCCTGAGAAATGAGCGGGAGTTATAAACATCTGTGCTTTTTCTTAAGTGTAATGCTTTCCAGTCATTCTGTCTTCACCAAGCGTAACTTACTTGCCGACAAAAGTGCATGAGCAGCGCTCCTCTTTAATAGTCTGCTATCGGAGCTGCTGTGTTGGTGCTGTAGAATGGTGAGACGCCAAGCTGTGAACCACCATATGCACTTGGCAGTCTTTGTCTGGTCTTTGTTCAGCCAACCTCTTAGCCTTGCCACCTATAAAGATAATGAATGCAAAATGGTCCTCTGCTTGCTCTTAAAATCAGATGCTCAGCTTAAAGAAAAAACAGATAACTTGATGCTTTGCAATAACTAGAAATTTCAAAATAAGGGCTAGCAGTTCACCAGCAGTTCTTGCTTTTTGATGTTTGTTTGAGGGAGGATCCTTAGTGGCTTTGAAAGATGAGAAGAATGCAAGATTTCACTGTCGAAGAGAGATTATTTGGAAGGGGAAATCATTCTGATACTTACTGTAGGAAAGGGGGGGTGAGTGTTGAAAATGAATCCTGAAGTACAAAACAACCCCTTTACCCTACAGCCACAACAAAATGTGTTTCCTGGAAGTCTGTAGTAACTCACTTCGGGTTCTTATAGTTTTCACTCTTGACCTTTATTTTTTTCCCAAAGCACAAAAATTAAAATCCTAACTTCAGTGAACCACTTACTAAACTAAATTTCATGAGCAGAAAAGAGCAGCTTTAATGTCTGACCTTCCTTTTTGTATATATGCAATGATAGCTTGTATGTTTTTATGATCACAGTTCTTTCAAAGCAGGATTTAATGTAATAACTTGGTCCTGACTGTGACCTCATACAAAAAGTTTAAAAAGCTGCCCTCTTACAGTGATTTATCAGCCCTGTTTAGGATTGATTTCCATCATAAAACCCTGGTTACAGCATCCCAAATGTCATGGTACCTTACAAGTTACGTATCTTGTTTAAAAAAAAAAAAAAATTCAAAATCACTAGTTGGTCTGGAAGTTTCGATTTACTCCTGACCAGTTTATGACATCCCAAGTGGGGTTTTACTGTTGTATTCCTCTCCCTCCACCCCTTCTCAGCCATTTCTCAGCAAGCATCCTCTGTCCCTGCCCTGTCTGCTGGCTGTCCCTTTGCCCAGAGCAGCGAGCTCGAGCTCGCGCTGCCCCGCCGGTGCCGGATCACGCAGCACTGCAGTGGGCACACGCTCTGCTCTGCTGAGGCTTCCTGCAGCTGCCGTGCTGCTGCTGGCCCTGTGCTGCCACTGCTCGCAGGGCCCTGCTCCTCCTCTGCCAACAGATGCCGCTTCTGTCTCCTGAGGTGTTGGGTTGGAAGCTGTCTGTGAGTAGCCAGGCAGAGCCATGCTCAGTGAAGGACAGGTTATTTGGGGGACAGGTACAATGCAAACTTGTGCTGTAATAGATGCAATCCTGAGCTTGTCTGCAAGAAACTGGAAAACCACCCTTTTCCTGGCAGAGCTCTCCCTAGGCAGTTTTTCTGTATCTCTTTAAAACCTGTTTAGTTGCTCACTACTGAATGTGTGGGAATGTGGCCTAAGGCTATGAATACTGTGGTGATCAAAATGATTTTAGATGTGTGTGTGGGATTCCCCCAAAGCTGGCTGTCATTTCTCCCTGAGTGCCATAGCTGAACCTGTGCAAAGGAATACTGTCTTTCAGAGTAGCTGACTTTGGCAGTGAGGTCAGGATTCTCCCCACTGTATCCAGCAGTTTTTAACCAAACATTTGCAAGAGACTATTCATGTCCTGATACAACTATGGTTTGTCTTTAAACCAAGCAATATTTGGTTTTAATCATGACATTAGCAGGACAGAAGTTTCCTGGTTGTATTTTCTCCTCATGCTGGAAAAGCCCTTGTATTTCTTGTCTACCTTCTCTCCTCTTACTGATTTTTTTTGGAGGTGGCAAGCTTGCATTTTGGAGTATCAGTCTTTCTAGAAACTGTACGTGTATGTGGAGTCAGGGAGTAGGAGAGAAAAACATAGCTACATTATCATACACTATGTAGACAATATTTGGGGTCTTTTGGGAAGGATTTCCTGATGACCTCTTTTACAAGAATTTGGCTCCACCATAATTTATCTATGATTTTGGGCAGCCAGGCAGACTGAGTGCAATGAATAATTGTTAGGCAGATTGAAAACATAGGGGCACAGAGAATAACAGTTGCACCCATTAACAATCTCTTGTTTTCAACAGGCTCCACTGTTTTAAAAGGTTGTTCTGGGGTGTTCAGGAGCACCAGTGTTGCCATTCTGATTCAACCACCATTTCAGCTTTTCAAAGTGGCTGTAACTGGTAGTTTCAGAATAAATCCCTAAAGCACAGGCTTCTTCAGTAGATAGATACCTGCGCAGTGGTGCATTGTTGTGTTGAGGAGAAATTCTTTCTCTGCCATAACAAGCTGTTTGGCATAAAAGTACAACTTAGCCTCCAGTATGTGTATATGTAAAATGCTACAGCCTGTGTAGCAGAAATATTCTGTTTCTTTTCTCCTCGCAGAGTAATATTAGGGATAAGAACTGAATTAAAGCTTACTTTCTTTCACAGAATTCCTCTGAGAGAGAAGACTGTAATAATGATGAGCCCCCTAGGAAGATCATTCCTGAGAAGAATTCACTTAGACAGGTATGTGATCAGTCTCTTTAAAAATGTGATAAAACTTTTTAGCTGTTTGAATCCTTAAATGCTTTTAGAAGCTGAAGTCTGGCTTATGCTCATGGAAATACTTTCTTTTCTTCTTTGAAGTCTGAGCAAGTTACATTGTACCCAGGAAAATCAGACACAGAGATTTAGCTTTCAGGGGAGTTTGATGACTCTGAAGAAATGTATGCTTCAGTATAGTTCAGTCAACTGTGACTCTAGCTTTACCTTTCTCCAGTTGGTGTTCGTCAAGACCTCTTCAGCCTTTTCTTCTGTAATTGTTCCTGTCTTGTTTGTAGTATATTTTGCCTTGCCTCAGATCAAGACTCTCAAAAGGTTCTACAACAATTAAACTTCTTATTGCCCTTGAAGGTATATTTTCTTGGAGATTATATCCAGGTTAATAACTTGAAAAATGACCTGTTCTTACTTCTTTTGCATTCATATACATTACTTATGGGTAAAAAGGAGAAAGGATGGTCTAATAAAATAATACTTCTTTGTCCTTTGTATATAGTAAAGCGAATTTCTTACCAATTCAAAATAACTCCTTATTTAATCCCTGTGGCCAACAAAGGGAGTCTGGCACGTGCTTTCTGAGATATTCAAGTTGGATTTAGTGATTTCTGATCCAGTTTCACCTTGGTCTTTCTCCCCACTGCAACCTTCAGGCAGCAGAAGCAAAATTATGTCCATGCCTTAGCTGCCTGAGGTTGCTGCCTGGAGTATCAGAGTGAAACCATTGGTATTCACTTAAGTGAATACCCCAGGCCACACATTGCAGCAGCTGAGGAATGGTTACGTTTCCTTCTGTATCTCAGCCACAGGAGCATAAGTCTCAGGCAGAGGAATAAGATGGCACAGTCCTGCCCCACATCAGCTATTTCCTGGAGAAGTAGTGGGTCAGAACCATAGTAAAGGAAAAAGTATCTTGTTGATACAGTGCACTTGTGCTCAGAGTTGTTGGTTTTGCGTGGTTGGTTTGGGGATTTATTTTTTTTTTAATAATGGATTGTTTTAGGAATGTTAAATTTTGTGGGAGGAGGTGTCATATGGAGGACTACATACATGTGACTAAGACAGGTCCATCTAACAGATGTAGTCCATATAAGTCTTTTAGACAAAAGGCAATATGCTGGCCTAATGGCTGAGGTCCCATTTATAGCTGAAAAGGATTACCTTGAAGAACTGATTAAATATGTTAGATGAAACTTAAACTGTTTCTGGTATTCAGCAAACAAGAGTTGGAGGAAGAGGACAAACCTACTAGGTCCCTACTGTGTATCCCCAGGATAGGAAACAAGGTCCCCAGCATGCCAGAAAATCTGGGGATTTTTATCTTACTTATATTATACATGGCAAGTCTTCAGGTTCTGCAAGAAGAGGTGTATGACTCTTCTCCAAAAGAAGATTTGTAGTAAGAGGCGTTAATTAAAAAGGATAGTGAGTTACATATTTTGTGTGTCTTTTCATCACACTGAGTCCTTTCTCATGATTACTGATTGAGAAAGTAGATACCTACAAACTATATTATGCAGATGAGGAAGGTACAGTTTCTTGAACTGGGTTTCCATTTTGTTATACTTCAATCTGTAAAAGTATTCTTAGTGTCACAAGAAAGCTGTCTTTTCCCTCAGACCCACAATTCATCATAATCAAGGAATACAATATAAACCAGGAGTACAACTAGAAGACCACGTGTAGTGTTCCAAGATTTCATATTGGAAAGAATTCAATGGACATAGTTTACACTGAAGATGGTTAGCTGTGTTGCACAGTATTGTTGAGACATTGTATCAGTCTCCATCTTTGTGTCTAGTCCTTACAGTGACAGATGCAGGACAAAATCCTTGGGTCTTCTATTGCTATTTGGAGCCTTTGTGTTGAGAACGGTCTTTGTAAATAAATTCAAGATGTAGTCTTAATCTTAAAGCAGGTGCCCTGTTGTCTAGATTGTAGGAGGTGGTTGTCCATGATTTTTTGCCTGTTATGGAGGGAATTCTTGTTCTTTACATAGACGTAAAGCTGTCTGAGCATTTTGAAAGCTAAGATTGCTCCTTGTCTCTATTAGCCATAATGGACAGGAGCAGTGGGGAGTTTTCTGGCTCTTGTTCCAGAAGTCAGACACATATTTAGCCATGTGCCTAAATACTCGCAGTCAATGCGTAATACTTACTGGAAAGATCTGGATCTCCTATAGAGGCAGAGTGACTGCTATGTCTTACATCTATCCATACTTTGTAGAACCAAAAGAATGTGACCCGCAAATGCTGTCAAAGCAGTAATGCTCAAAAAATGGCTTCCATTTTAGTGGAAAGATGCTAACCTGGTAGATATTGTGTGAACAGTTTCGTATTTTCTGTTTCTCCTGTAAGAATCCTTCAATATTTCATTATTGGGGAACATGGACCGACATGAACAGAGAAATTGAATATATGTGGGTAGAAGAGCAGTCTGTTTATTTAAATGGTCTTTCCAGTGAACGTATCCTCATATTTAGTACTGTTTGATTGGTCTTAGAAAATTAATGAGATGCATCAGACCACTTCAGGGTAAGTACTATGTTTTGACCTGTTCAGCTGCTAACAAGTTTAAGTAAAGGCGCATTTCATTTTCTTGCCTTGTTTGCAGTGCTGTTATGCAGCCTTACCCATAATGTTTACCCAGGTGGGTGTGTGGATCAGACATACCAGAAGGTAGAGGCATTGAGGAGGTGTAATACTTACACATCTGAAATTGTGTGCAGGGGCTGAAGACACCCATTGGTCAGTGCTGTGGAACTCGTAGTAAGAGAAATATAATTTTGCTGTTGATTAAAATGGTTTATGGAGAAGGGTGTCTTCAGAAGTCTCAACAAGTGGGGCTGTCCTTGAATTGCTGGAAGTAGAAGGCACAGCCACTGTTGGGTGCATGTGGGAGCAGCAAGGCAGAAGAGACACGGAGATTAGCACTGGGAAACAGAAAAGGCAATGAACTTGATGCTGTTAGCTGGAAGAGTGAAAAGATCTAAGCTGTGACAGACTCTGGAATATGGATGCAGACATTCAGTTTTTGTTGAGTGCTTGATCTGACAAAATTAAATTTTGAAGGGATAAACTGAAAATCATAGTATGAAAACAGATCAGAAAAAAACAATGACAAGTGGCAAAAGTTTTTGGCAACTTTATTTAAGCTAACAAACGAATTTTCACACTGCAAAGTTATAAATTAATTTTAATAGGCTGATCCAGATGGTCCATTTGGAAAATGGATAGCTTGATCTGTTGAAAATTAAACTAAATTTATCTCTCTCATACTTCAAACTGAAGTAAGCGTGAGAAGAGTGCCCATTAAGTCCAGCTCATACAGATGGACCGGCAGGTCACACATGGGACTAATCTGATTCATTTTAAAAATAAATGCATGAGTTATTGAATCAGGTTCCTGTTTCAAACCCTGCATGTGAGCGTGTGTGTGTGTGCTGCCCTTTCAAAGGGACTCGCAAATGCTTCAGTGCATTTTTAACCTGTGTGTTTCCATTTTAATTCAACTTCCTTGCCAAAAAACATAATTAGTTTTCAGTGCCTATCATTTAGTGTTAGACCCAAACACTAGATTGATTAGGTCAGCCATTTGTTATTTTAAGGGCTATGTCTCCATCCTTCATTTATGAAGAACATGAGCTCAATAGTCTTGGGGAGAGAGCCAGCCTTTAGAAACTGGGAAGGGGAAACTCTCTGGGGGCCCCTCCAGCCTTTTAGCTTCTGGGTGTTTTTAACAGAGCCATGAATGCAGATTTGTAAATTTATTGCAGTGCCATCTGGTTTTTTTGCAGGAACCGTATTATTGTTGGCTCGTATCTGTCTATTGTGGTGGTCACTCCCCGGGAGCTTGCCCTCATAGTCCTAAGGAAAGTGATGAATAGTGGGGGTCAACATGAATAGGTCACAGGGCAGCTGTCCGGGGCTGCCCTGAACTTGATTACCCCGCTGGTTTTTAAAGAAGACGGGCACAATACTGGTTGTTTGAAACCCTCCCTCCCTTCTCTTCAGTGCAGCAATAATGAAGTGCCTTTTGCTGCTGTGGTTCATCTGTGGGCGAAGGTGCCTTGTGGGGAAAAGCTGGCAGCAGCAAGGCTGCCACAGTGTACCTCCTGCAAACCTTACGTTGGACTCTGCTGTCTTTCTGCAAGCTTCCAGATGGAAGTCCAGGGGAAAAAAATCCCTGTCTGTTACCCCATTCAGACAAGCCCCTTAGCATTTTCAAGAGTTCTTCCTCTTACAGTTTTGGCACGGAGTATTACCTCAATTCACTCCTACAGATTTGAGATAATTTTCTAAAATTACATGTAGCACCTAAAACATGCTCTGGGCACTATTTCAAAGTTAAAATAGGCACAATCTGATTTTAAGAGTTTAAAGCCAGTACTCAAGAAAGCCGTGAGAAGCAGAAAGTGGCTGAAGAAGGTAGAGCAAAGGAAAAACAAGAAGTAGCAATTGTTAGTGGTTTACTTTTGGCTGGCAGCCTCATCCTGCTGCTTAGGGCTCTTCTCCAGGTGTACTGCTCCTCTGCAAAAGTGTTTCTGTCATGCAGAATTGAAGCCCTCGTTTCGACTGATGAGGAAAGTTGCATGGTATGGAGGAAGAGGGACCTTCAGTTCCCTCCATCTCTTTGGGGAAGATGCTGCACTTTAGATTTGCCTTCTGTTGGAGAGCTGGCTGAAGCAGGGCAGTCCTAGTCTATGAAGTTGTCCCGATTACCACAACACTTGGTAGTAAGCAGTTGCTGATTGAAAAGCCCCCGGTAATTGCTAGAAGTACACCCTTAGTCTTACTTGCAAGATTATTCTTTCTTTTTAAGTTTTTTTTCTCATTATTCTCAAACAAAAAAAAATAATTTCCATTCCTTTGTTACACTTAGTGCGTGTTAAAAAGCTAGCCAATGCGGGTTGTGCTGGAGTCTAAGTTACAATGGGAATGCTGCCTTGTGGCAGAAAGGCCACTGGG